GCTCAGACCCGGTTCAACCTTGGTTTGATTCAGACTAAGCCGGTTCAGGTAGTTCTTCACCGGTCCTTCAGTTTTTGCTTCGATTCAGCAATCCAGTACGCTTCTGCAGTCCGGTTCAGTGGTCTAGTTCAGTTGTTTCTCCGGTTCATTGGTCTAATGAGTTTCTACAGTCCGGTTCAGCGATTCAGTAAGCTTCTATAGTCCGGTTCACCTAGTTTTTACACCGGTTCAACCCGGTTCACCTAGTTTCTACACCGGTTTAGCCTGGTTTAGTCAGTTTCTACTTTGGTTCATCAATTCTACGACCTCAGGTTGTCCGGTTCAGTGGTCCATCTTGGTTTTCAAGCTCGGTTTAGCCTTCCGGCAGACTCTTTTCCTCTGGTTCAGCATTGCAACACTTCTTATTTGCTATTTGCTGCACTATTATGGAACCCAAGCAAGATACCAAATCCCTTACTCCATCTTTGCCTCCTCCGACTCTTATCAAGGGTCCCATGACCTCTATCAAACTCAATGGGACTAATTACACTTTATGGTCCCAATCTATTCAAGTCTTTATTCGAGGCAAAGGATTTAAGAAATATTTGGAAGATCCTAAACTTAAGGAAGACACTCCTGGGTATGATCAGTGGGAACAAGAGGACACTCAAATTATTTCTTTGCTATTGAATAGCAATGAGCCCTTGAGCCTAGTATTAGTTCTACTCTACTCTATCTTGACACTGCCAAGGAGATATGGGATCACTTAACCACTATGTATTCTAGTACAGTTAATTTTACCCGAGCTTATGAGGTGTGCAAGGAGTATTTCCGATTGGAACAGAGTACTCTGAGCATTGAGGATTATTATTCTCACATTCGGGGAATCTGTGAGGAGATGAAGACCTACCATTCGTTTACTACTAATACAGCAGTTTGACAAAAACAACATGAAGACATGAATGTTGTTAGGTTTTTGGTAGGACTGAAACCTGAATATGAGACTATTCGTTCTCAGATTTTGAGTGATTCTAGTCTTCCCTCACTACTTGAGGTTTTCTCTCGTGTATAGCGTGCTACTTTGTCTACTTTAGGCATCAAGCATAGTGTCTCCACTGATCGCTCAGCTCTTGTGGTCCCTAATAGCCACAGTGATGGTCATTGAGGTGGTCGTGGTGGGCGAGGAGGTCGTACAAGTGGTCGTGGGGGCCGTAGTGGACCTAGTTCCTATACTCCCTATAGCCGTGGAGGGCACACTGTTGATTTCTGTTGGAATTTACATGAAAAACTTTCTGGTGCTGCGAATCAGGCTTCTTATCAGGATGACACCTCTATCGTTGCTTCCATACCTTGATCGGCTCTACCAGACATTGGGTCGATTACTATTACACAAGAGGAGTATACTCAGTTCCTGTCTCAGTAGCAGTCAGTTCCATCTCCCTCCACTGCTACTTTTGCTCAGTCAGGTACTACTTTCACTTGTTTATTGCCCTCCACTCGCAGTCCCTGGATCATAGACTTCGGCGCTTCTAACCACATGACTGGTGCATTTAATATTTTTTCTACTTATCAGTCTGCTATTTCCATACGTAGTATTACTCCTGCTCATGGTACTTATTCTAAAGTTTCAGGTCTGGAGATTACTCACTTGATCCCTGATATGTCCCTATCTTCTGTGTTATTTGTTCCTCAGTTTCCTTTTAGTTTACTTTTCACTAGCAAGATTACTCGTTCTCTCAATTGTTCTATAACCTTTTATTCATCTTATTGTGTCTTTTAGTATCTCAAGACGAAGAGGAAGATTGGTACAGGGCATGAAGCTGGTGGCATATATTACTTTGATTTTGATTCACCTACTCGGGTTCTACAGACCTCGTTGTCTCCTTTTCAATGACATTATCGTCTTAGACATCCCTCTTTCCAAACTCTGAAGTGTCAAGTTTCTAATCTTAGTTGTATGTCGTCTTTATCTTGTGAAGCTTGTCAACTTAATAAGCATCATCGTGTGTCATTTCAATCTAGAATCAATAATCGTGTGTCTAATCCATTTGAGTTGCTACATTCTGATGTATGGGATCCAATAAATAATATTTCATCTAATAAATATCCTTATTTTGGGTTATTTGTGGATGACTATGCTCATGTGACTTGGTTGCTTTTGATGAAAGCTCGGTCTAAATTATTCTCTATATTTAAGACCTTTTGTAAGGAAATAAAAACTCAGTATGATTGTCGTATTTATATTTTACGTTCTGATAATACTCAGGAATATGAATCTGATCATTTTTCAACTTAATAAAATTGACATTATTAATCAGACTTACTATGCTTACACATCTCCACAGAATGGTGTTGCTGAACACAAAAACCGTCATTTGTTGGAAGTCACCCGTGCCCTATTATTCTAGATGAATATTTTTTGATATTTTTAGAGTGATGCTATTCTTACTGCTTGTTATCTTATTAATTATATATCATCCTCTGTGTTAAATGGGCAAAGTCCATATTCTGTCTTTTTTCTTAATAAGCCCTTATTTTTCCTAACTCCTAAAGTTTTTGGATGTATCTGTTATGTTCACAATTTGGATCCTAAGTTTGATAAACTTGACCCTCAAGTTACCAAATGTGTATTTCTTGGTTATTCCCGCACACAGAAGGTGTATTGTTGCTACAGTCCTTCTCTACGACGATACTTTATTAGTGTCGATGTCACATTTGAGGAATCTGTTCCATATTTTCCTGCACCTTCTCAGTCTTTGGATCTGGAATTTAGGTCATCTATTGTACCACCATCTCTTCCCTATCTTTAGATATTCCGTTGTCCATTGTGTTACGATCTACTTTACCTCTTTGTGTATACTCTCGTCGTCCTCGACCATCAACTGAAGTGCCCATACCGTCTTCCTTGTCGCCTTCTGATCCTGATCCATCAGGTAATTTAGACTCTTTACCTATTACTCTTCGAAAAGGTACTCGTTCGTGTGTTACTAATCATCTCATTGCTCATTTTGTTTCATATAATGTCTTGTCTCCCGTCTTCTCTTATTTTACCTCTCAATTATCAACTATATTTATTTCTAAGCATTTACAGGATGCATTATCTGATCCGGGTTAGAAGAAAGTAATGAAGAATGAGATGAATGTCTTATATTATAATGGGACTTGGGATCTCGTTCCTTTACCTCCTAGTAAATGAACTGTTAGTTATTGTTGGGTGTATATTGTTAAATTTCATCTGGATGGTTCTGTGGAGCATCTCAAAGCCCGGCTTGTTGCAAAGGGCTCTACTCAGACCTATGGTGTTGATTATGAGGAGATTTTCTCTCCTGTTGTAAAAAGTTCCTCTGTTCGTGCCTTGATTTCTTTGGCTGCTAATCTTGATTGGCCCTTATTTCAGTTAGACATCAAGAATGTCTTCTTACATAGTGACTTGGTTGAAAAGGTATACATGAAACAACCACCTAGGTTTACTGCTCAGGGAGAGTATGGTAAGAGTGTATGTTGGTTCAAAAAATCTTTGTATGGTTTGAAGCAGTCACCGAGAGTATGATTTGGTAAGTTTTCAGATGTAATTTTAGAATTTGATCTTCTTCGATGTCAAACAGACTATTCTGTGTTTTATAGACAGACAGATGTTAGATATGTTCTATTGGTAATTTATGTAGATGATATTGTGATCACTGAAAATAATTCTGAGGGGATTGCCACATTAAAAATCTTCTTGCAAGATCAATTCATACTAAAGATTTGAAAAAACTTAGGTATTTCTTGGGAATTGAAGTGGTTCGATCTAAACAGGGTATTTGTTTATCACAAAGGAAATATGTGTTTGACATGATAGAGGAAACAAGTTTGTTAGGTGACAGACCGATTGATATTCTTATGGATCCGAATCAGAAACTATTGATGGATGATGGTGCACTGTTTGAGAATTCAGATTGGTATCGCAGATTAGTTGGGAAGCTTAATTATCTCACTATTACTTGACCGAATATTTTTTATGCAGTCAGTATAGCGAGTCAGTTCATGGGGTGTCCTAGAGTACCACATTGAGAGGCAGTTACTCGTATTCTGCGATATCTCAAACGAGCTCCTGAATTTGAATTGTTCTATCAAGCTAATGGGCATCTAAGAGTAAAAGGTTTCTCAGATGCTAATTAGGCTGGCTCTATTTCTGATCAGAGATCAACCACTGGTTATTGTACTTTCTTAGAAGGTAACGTTGTCTCGTAAAAAGGTAAGAAATAATTCGTGGTAGCAAGATCCAGTGTTGAGGCTGAGTATAGGGCAATAACGCATACGACGTGTGAGTTGACTTAGCTACTACACTTCCTCTAGTAAATTGGATTTCCAGTTTAACTTCTTTTACAGTTGTTCTGTGACAACCATGCAACTATCCATATCGCTGTCAATCCGGTGTTTCACGAGAGAACCAAACATATTGAGATTGATTGTCACTTTATTCGGGACAAGATAGTAACTGGGGAGATTACAACTCCATTTGTGAAATCTGAATATCAGCTTGCAAATATGTTTATCAAAGTATTGAGTCGTACACGTTTTACAGCGATTTGTTCCAAACTTGGATTATATGATATATATAGTCCAGCTTGAGGGGGAGTGTTAAGAATATTAGGATAGTATGTGTAAATTGTTAATAGTAAGAGAGTATATGTGTAATTCTTATTATTGTGAGTTAACTATAAATACAAGTGATGTATGAGAGTTAGGTTAAGTTTTTAACCTCTCTCTGTTTCTCTCTAATATCATGTTAATTCTCTACACTTAACACATGCATTTCTAGATCCCTGAATGCAACCAACGAGATAATTAAATTGCAACCACACATGTTATGATTAACTGCATCCAAAAGTTACATCTCATAATGCCAATATTTGAATGTGAAGGTTGAGAAAATGCAAACAAAGAGGCTGACTGATAACAAGCATATGTATTTAGGATTTACAGAGAATTAAGCAAAAGGACCTCATAAGTGACACAGAAAATCAAACTCATAGACACTATGAATGGCTTACCCAACAAAATAGCAAATTGTGCCTGGTTTCCTTCATAAGAAAATCGAGAACCCACTCCACATTTCTCCTGTAAAAGATTGATAACTATATAATTGAGGTATAAACAGTAATATGAAATTAATATAAATTATAGTGTCCAAATTAACAAGTTCAACTGACAACTATTGACAAAAATTAAATTAGGAAGAGGCAAAGATTGAGGATTACTTAGTTCTTGATGACCAGACACCAACATTGAATCTCTCAAAGCAAAATTGTAGAAAATCATCACAGAAGGGCCTCTTAAAGACTGATACAATAAATGACAATCACGTTAGAACAGTTCTGGCCAACTAACAAAACTTTTGGGGGAAAAATTACTTTGTTAAACCAATTCTTACCGGATTTCGTCCCTATTATTGTGTCTGCTTTATATCCATAGGGTACATAAGATACAATATCAGCCAACAGTCCATTCACATCAAGAACAAGAAGCTTTTTTCTAAACGATCCAGTAGGAGCTCTCACCGGGGATGGCTGTAAGATATGCAGAGCGAGTTTGTCTTTGTTTATAATTTGAGGGGCATCATCCTCCACTGCACCTATCTGCATCAATGGAGGAATAGTGTCTTCCATCTTGGATTTTCTCTTCTGGCCTAGGTCTGCACTGGAAGGATCTCTAGCAGAAGCATCACAAGAAACTTTTCCCTTGCATAATATCGCAGTTTGATCGATGAGGTTTTCTGCAGAACCCGCATAATTCACTGCATTCAGGATGATATTGTGCTTAGCCCTCTTAGCTTGCACTGGATTTTCTCCCAGGACGTCTAAAACAGACACATCCTCGACACATCTACCTTCACTGGTAGTCTCTTTAGTATTCTCCATCCCCATTATGTTCCTACTCTCACCAGTTGGATGTTCAATATCAGAACAGCCATCTGAGGCTCTTTCTAATAACATATCTCCCACAACTTGTAAAGGGGCGCCACGTCCAGCAACCACTTCTCTTCCAAACATATTCTCCAAACAGCCAGATGCAAGTACTCCAACTGAGTGATCTAAAGAAGTATTTCTTGCAACCAGCACTGGAGTACCAGTAATCTCCTTGATGGAGTCCGAACAGTCTGCTAGCGAATCAGAGAGCTTTCTTCTTTTCCCGCGAGAGGTCTTAAGTCGTTTCTTCCTCTTAGAGGTTTTGATAATCTTCACCTCTAGTGAAGTATTCTCATCCACAGAATGGGCATCTTGTTTCTTCACGGAACTAATATCAACACATACGGGGGTACCGCTAACCTGTTCTGCAAGTTCAGAAACAGAGCTCACATTCACTTCACGAAACAGCTTATTGTTATTTACTACCGGGCTAGGCCCCACACCACTATCTTGAAAGTCAAGACTAATAACATTACTTTCCGTCGTATAATGCCTCTTATTATGATTTTTGCATTTATTGTTGTCCTCAGATGAAATTACTTCTGCATCACATCGAGTCACTTCTGAATCTGCCTCTGAGAACTTACCTACGGCTAGTTTTGTAGATAAATCCCTTTCAAGGGGACAGCGAATACACTCTGAATGCTCATGATGTATATCGTTACATTTCTGGGCGCTAGTCTTCCTCTTCTTAATTCTTCTCTTCTTCTTTCCTGGCCATGCACCCAAGCCAGCAAGACAATGTGCTACTCCGGAACTTTTCGCTGAGCTGACACCAACAGAGGGGCAGATATAAATATTACTACCTACTGCAGTGTTCTTCGATGAAGTATCCTCCTGAAGATCATGATCTACAACATTGCCACTACAAGCATTGTGCCTCCTTTTCTGTTTATTTCTTTTCTTTTTTGCCTGCCATGATTCAGAGTTAACATTATATTGCTGATATGGATGTATATCTAAAAGACTATCCTTCAGGGAAAAATTTCTGGTCCTCCCAGAAATCATAGCATTACCATTCAGAGATTGTTTCATGTTTCTTTTATACTTATTTTGATAAATATCTGTCAATACTGAAATTTCCTTCGCAGCCAAGGCCAGGACAACTAAAGGAGATGCAAGTTTAGTGCTTTCTTATTTCTTTTCTCCCTCTTCATCGTTCAGGAACTGCAAGAATGTCAACAGAAAATGAAGATGAAGATGATATGGCAGAAAACAACATGCAAGCATGGTTCAAGCGTAATTCATAAATCATTCAAGCAATGATAAATTTGATGCAATATCTCAACACTTCTGTAGTACCCCGACTCTGAATAGGTAAAAATAATAGTGGAATATATCTTGGTAGTGCTTTTTTATAATTTGAAAATTAAGTGTTGAGGTTAAAAGTTTCAAAATTTTAAGGGATGAAACTGTAATTATGGAATCTATTGCCCCACAGCATGCAAGTGAAAGGGCAAGATGAAAGTGATGCGGGCGGGATATGTTTCTGTTCATCAATAACCCCAGAGGGAGAGGGGCGCTCGCTCCGAGTCAGGCAAGTATCACCTTATTGGTTACAATTTGATCACTTTGTCAAATTTATATCAGGGTCCCGCCTTCTGCATAGAATCTATCCCTAGCCAGCCATCATCTACATGACTTGGCTTAGTGTCATGTGAGGTGTCAATCTCTTAAGAAGGCTGCAATATTCTGGAATAAAGGAAACAATAGAATAGATATAGAAGTAATAAAAAGGGGGGAGGTAGGAGGAGAGAAAAGGGGGACTTGTTCAAACGGTGGGGAAAGAAGAATGATGGAGAGAAAATAAAAAAAGAAAAGAAGGTGAAAAAGGAAGAAGAAAGAGGAGGAGCTGGGAAGGGGAAAATGAGATTTCTGCTATATATGGGAAAGAACTGAAAAACAAAGGAAGACACAGACTGGTATGGTATGGTGAACGTCCGGCATGTGATCGGACGATTCTTAACATGTATCAAGAAAATAATTAATTTTTTTTCTATTTATTGTATGTTGCTGATTTTAATTAGAGGAAGAGAATGGGAGCAGGGTGTGACAAATTGGCATCAAAGCCTAGGTTTGATGATTCTGTGGACCATCCTAAGAAAAAATTGTCTAAGATTACCACCTAAGGTATGAGAGTATGAATTTAACAGAGTATGATGTGCTATATATATACATAACAATATCTTTGACAATATTGTGGTTATATACATAGTTGTTAGTATCGTATGATACACAATACGTATCGTACGATACGTTACGATACGGAGGTAAAACGATACGGATCGTAGTTATGTATCGTTTTTACATCGTATCGTCCGATACACAATACGTTTTTACGATATGATATGTATCGGTACGATACGACCGATACGCGCAAAACCTGTTTTTTTTTTTTTGAAACGACGTCGTTTTGTCTAAATAAGACATTAATTTTTTTATTCCCGCCACTAATGAAACGGCGTCGTTTTGTCTAAATAAGACACTAATTTTTTTTTTTGTATAAAAATTTATGAATCTTGATTAATTTTATGGATTGAATTTAAAATGAATGTTATAAATTTGAATTAAAAGTCTCTTTGGTATTTGAAGTTTGAATTAGTGAACTATGGTTGTAAACTTTGCATTATAATATTAGTGAACTATGTTGATGACTTGAATAGGTGTGGAGAATTAATGAAATGCTATATTGGTATGAGTGTATGATTTTTTTCCAAAGGTATATATATTTTTTTATTATTTATTTAAAATTGCACTGTATCTTACGATACACGATACGATACACTATTTTTAAAAAATGATACGACTTCCGATACACGATTTAATAACTATGGATATATATATTTCAAAGGTGTGTATATGTATAGGTGATTCGGATAAGTGATGCGTGGAAGTGTGTCAACCAAGTATATTGGAGCAAATTGGTCTGATACTGAAAAAAAAAACAATCACTATAATACACCCTAACTGTCTAGGTAATAAGCTAGATGGTATATCTTATAGTCTTGTCATAAGGACATTTGAGCATGGGATTTCATTTCAGAGAACTTCTGCAAATATTATAATCATGACTCAACTGAGTTTTCACTATAATTATCCTGGAAAAGTCATGGGGGTTGATCATTATGAAGCTAAGTACGTTTCCACGGCTTAAATTTCACATGTCATGTCATGTACCTAGATTTGTGAATTGAATCTTTTTGTCTGTTGCTTATGCCCTAGAAGCTGAAACACTCAAAAAAAAAAAAGAAGCAAAAATCGTTGTGACAATATCTATTTAAATGTTACGGTACGGAACTACTGATGCTTGTCCTGTAACTTTTGGTTAGTAGTTACTAAGATCATTTTTCTTGAAAGCTTGGATTCTTGTTTTCATGCTGAATTTTTCTTCCGTGACGTATATATCTTTGCTGCATTTTACTGGAGTATGGAGTATGGTGTGAGATTTTATTTTCGACCATGTGATTAAGTTAGTAAGCTGCACTTCTTGGTAGTTGGAATTTGCATCGAAGACTATTTTTCTATTCCTATGGCAGGTATCCTTGAGTGTGTAGACAGCAGGCACTCCACTTAGCAGCTGAATTTCTAGCATATATTTTAACTACCAAGTATGTTGCTTCAAAATCTGTGGAAGCACTTCTATTTAATGTTGTCTTGGAGTCTACATTATAACTCCAACAACAGTGATGATATTACGAGGGCTTTGCGGAAAAGGATGGCATTGTGAATGTATTTATGCCAAATGGGTTATGTATATCATGGGTCCCATGGATGTGGAAAAAATGAATGTGTGGTACATTACAAAAAAAATAGCCATGACTTCGGGGCTAGATCGTGACTTCGGAGCGAGATACCAAAAATGAATAATACATAGTCATGACTCTAGAGCTAGATCCCAGAACCAAACATCCCATAGTTTTTAAGTATATGAGGAAAGGAAGTAGTAATCATCACCAGAGAAGGACTTCGGACTTTGCAACGCAAATCTCTTGAAAGGGAAATAATCCACTCAACTGAATATATGTAGTATAACACAATTTGGCTCATTTCAATGGATTTTTCTTCTGAGAACAAAACAGAGTGTTAATGTAAAACTACTTGCCTTTTTCAACATCTAAACAGGGGCCAAAAAAATCTACTCCAAATGCAAAATGAACCAATATGCCCCTAAATTCCATGGGGAAAAAAAACGATAAAACATATTTTCGAAGTGGTGAAATAAAAATTCCCTTCACATTCTGACTTTCGAAAGTCCTATGCTCATTGATTACTTTCATTAATCTCTTCTACTAATGAACCACTAGACTAAGAAGCCGCTATTTAGCCGAACATATTTTTCTTACTTAAAAACCGAGTGGACCAATTGCTATGAGTGGCCCCTCTATATATAGTTGGGCTAGCAATGACAAAAGACCTGTGATGAGAAAGTCACCATGGGCCATGTACGCAAGGACCATGGATCTAACTGGGGCATGTACGAAGGGAAAAGAAGAGACAAGACAATCATTGAAATAAAAGAGCAAAAAAAAAAAAAAAAAACTTCATAACCATAAGTTTGACGATCTAGAGAATCTCCCTAGGTTGTTTTAAATGGACAAAATACCTTGCGCATGAATAGCTTGTATGAATAAGCTTTGGGACTGATGACTTTCCTTGGACATTTACAAGTGTGTTAAATCATCAATTAATGTTCACTTTGGTTGAATCAATAGTATAAGATATCCCATGCACACGCACAGAAGAAGAAGATGCCCCGAATGCCCTGTTTTCAGTAATTGAATGCACTGTGGCACTTTCGGAATAATTAATCCGATCAAGAGTAAGGGAAGGGAGGATTTATAGATGGACAAAATATTCTTTAAATAGGGCAAGAAGAAACTCTTTGGTTGTTATGCTAGCATAAGTTGTAACAGACTTTGCTGCTATTGAATGCCCTGCTAGTCTTAGTGCTACAGAAGTAACTGCAACGGAGCGTTAAGAAGGTGATGAAAAGGATCTCTTCACTAAAGAGAGCTTCTTGAAAAGAGAGGATTCGGTGTCAAAGATTAGCATCTCATTCTCAACAGCAAGATAAATGAGAGCATTTGTTGCATCTATTAAGTCAAAGCTAAGAGACAATTGGGCTGATACAAGACCTTCGCCCTCAACTAGTCTTCTTTTTGGGAGATTAGGTGTCTACCCTCAGATGGAGCAACGCAGACTTCAGTAACACAGTATGATGAGTGTTTGTTTTGCTTCCACTAACGGCAAGACTAGTGGAATAAACACTTAAAGGAATAAAAGCAATGAGACTTCTTACTTTATTTGAAGCGGGTGGCATGGATTTCTTTAAAGGAGTTGCTTTTAAGCCACATCCTAGAAGAAGTGAAAAAGAAGGGGTAGTATATATAAGGCTTGTGCAAGCAAGTAACACTTTACTTCAAGTGAATAGTGCTACCTCACTTTCTTTAGCTAGGCTGAGAAGCTGATTGCTTGCCACATACTATTTCCTTCTCATCAAAAGATGAGTAAGACATTAACACCAAAATTCTTATACATGTTCCTCGATGAGCAATAAAGGCTGATGCTCTAAGGGGAGACAGATAAAAATCTCGATGAAAAAAAAGAATCAAATAGTGACAATTGGGCAAGGCATTGTGAGGAACTGATTGACCCAAACCAAATCAAATCAAACTAAGTCTTATATTCCAATCACTTGGCATCTACTATATAAGTCATTTCGATCATGCACTATACGCTCATTTAAGTTAAATATTTTGACATGTTTTCTTATTATTTTGTTTAATGTTAATTTAAATCTACCCCTACTTCCAGTACCATTAAGAGAGATTATCTCACTTTTTCGAACCGGTACCTCTATCGGCCTCCGTTGAATATGATCAAACAATCTTAATCTATTTTCTCTTAAACTTATCCTCAATTGGAATCACTACTACCATTTCTCTAATACGATCATTTCTTATTCTATCTTTTTTAATTTTGTCATACATCCATCCACCTCAATATTCTCATTTCCGTTACACTCATTTTGTCACTATATTGTTTTCTAATTACCCAACATTATGTCTCATACAACATTGTTATCCTTATAGCT